ATAATAATGATGATGATGATGATAACGGGATTTAGGATGTAGTGCGGTAGGCGAACACTCTCACCGCTACACCACTGCAAAGAACGACGAGGGCGAGGATAAAGAAAGGACGACTGATGGAGATGAAAATGGCTCAGTATGCTAAAACCAGTTTATATAGATGGACACCACTGTATCATTAATTGTTTATTTTTATTTTTTGTGCTCTTCCATTGCTAAAAGTGTAGGAAGAACTAAAAATGTTTTTAAATAATACATATTTTTTAGTTCAAACTTTTCTTACCGACATGATTCTCGATGATGTCCTTAATATTGTGCCCTTGTTCTAGCATCAATTTCTTCACTTCATGTGCGTTTCCTAACACATCAAAGTCAGCAGAAAACATCACATAATCTGGATTGTTGAATTTGATTTCGTGCATCAAGGAGAGTGGCTCGATAGATGGACATGGTAAAAGTTCATGAGCACCCACGTGATGCACGAAATTCCTTACTTCGTCCATAGTTTTTTCATCGGCGTGATAGGAATAAACAGTTATAAATTGCTTGTTTGTAGCAACTCCTACGACAAAACAAAACATTGCATCAAAACCAGACATTAGACTAATAGAGAAGTACACATTCGTAGTCTAGCCACACTGCTGCTGAAGATCAATTATATGTCTTACAAATTTTGTTTCTACTATACCTTCAGCGATCTTGTAAAGCTTGGTTTCACTTCGATGAACAGCACATTGTAGTCCGCATCCATCCCCTTTGTCCCAGAATTCAATGATAGCTTTTTTTGCACTTCCATGTTTCATAAGCATGTTATTCAGGTCGCCTTCATCGGGTTTCCAACCCCTTGGTTCAGACTTCAATACATCAACTACACGACCATAGCTGATAGATGCCCTGTAGAAGCCCCTTGGTGCACGTTCAGGTTGAGTGCCTGAGGGAACGCTTGGTATTGGGTCGTATTTGCCGGTGGCCCCATATTGCTGTGGTGTTGCCCGCTGTACATTTCCATAGGGACTCAGTAACTGAACCAATGCGTCTTTGTGGACAGACCATGGTGTTGTGTTCCATGACATGACCATCGGCTGCTCTGACCCCGGGATGTCTTGGTTCAAGGTCGTGAATACAATGTGTACGACGTCAGAAATCAAATACCCTTCTCTGTAGTTTTTGTCTACAGTTATGATAAACACTAGTTTTGCACCTTTGAAAGAAGAGAAAGCAAACTCAATTGACTGAAAGGAAAAATAAGCTCATTCAGCTGGTGTTGTCGGTAATCTTTTCCTGTGCGTTGATGTTTGTTTCTGATGAGGGGACCATAGACAAAGGAATCAGGCCTTCCCTATCCGCGCCGGCTGTTGGTAGGTTTGATGTTGATATCTTGAATAATGTTATTGTATCACAAGCAGAGCTTAAATTAAAGGCCACACATAGGACAATGCCCGGTCAGAACTGGGACTTGTCCCGTTAGATTTTTGCCTTGATGGTCATTTTGACCACTAACGTTGAGCCAGAAATGAGGTACTGTATAACTAAGCTAAAACTAATTTGGCATGTGATCATGACCAGCAACTGATTGGCCGTGTTAGTTTAAGCCCTATCAATATTTCCCACCTACCAAAGCTGAAGCTCTTGACAATTTCTTTGTAAAGTTGAACTTGGTTGTCAAGGTGGAGCATATCTTGAATATACTCCAAGTCAGACACAAGCACAAGATATTCTGGTTTGTGCTTCATGATGTAGTCTTGGATGTTGATATGTTGATCGGCGCTCGCTTTTGGATTTGAAGGAATGGCGAGCTCCTCGTAAACATCTTTAAAGACGTTTTCTACCTGATAAACAGATGGTTTTGACGAATGGAATGAAAGAATATGAACTTCTGGTGTACCACTGATTGCAGATTCTGTAGGATAGGGGGAAAAACGTGGAAAACATTTATAAAGGACTTTTTTCTCATTTAAAAATCTTCAATTCAATTTAACAACCTCTAAGCCGATCTAAGTTTGGGCACGGCCGATTCAACACACAGATCAAATTGAGTCAAGTCAATAATCAAGTGATAATCTTTCTTACCCCTAGTACCACTTACTTTTATTCTCTCTCTCAAGAGGATGTGTCATGCCTTCTGCACGTGTTTCTGGTTGTGAAGGTAGGGCACGATTTTCATTCCTCTCTGGTGGAAATTTGTTTTCAAGAACACTTTCTGTCTCCATGGGTAGTGGCACTTTGCTCTTTACCTCCGATAATTTACTCTTTTCAACTTTTTTTGTCTCTTAATTCTCAGGGACCTTCGCAAGGAGTGGCTTTGGTGGTGGAAATTCGTTTTCAAAAATATTTTTTGTTTCCATGGGTTGTGGCTCTTGCTTCTTTACCTCCGATAGTTTAGCCTGTTCAACTTCTTTAGTCTCTTCTTTCTCAGGGACCTTTGTAGGAAGTGGCTTTGGGCTTGGCACGAATTTCTTCGGGTCAAGATAGAACTCGAGCGCCTCTTCGTGTATGGGATGGTGATCTTCCTCCCATGAGAAAATAAAACTTCTCACTCCATTGACGTAATCTTCAGTGAACTGAGAAGAAATCTTGCGCCAGGCCCAGCGTGACAGAGGTGACTTGTCACGCTCTTCTTGGTCTTTGTAATTGTCATCTCCACCAATCACAATCAGCACTCGATCACCTAATGACAAACAAATAGTTAGTTACAGAATTCATCAGTGATGGGAAGAAAGCCAAGTAATTAAATCACTAATGTGTTGGTGTTTTCGAAGTAAGATAGAGTGCATACCATATATCCGTGAAAAACTTAATGAAATTGCACAAATTAGTAGTTCAAGAAAGCGTAGACTACTTTACAAAACTTTGCACTAATTTGTACAATTTTTCGGGGATATCTATGGTATGCAATCTAAGGTAATCGTGTATATTACTCTACAATAACGGCATAGACTCCTTTAACCACTACTAGCCCAAGTGAAGTCCTTTCAGGAAGAAGGAAGCGAAAACTAACGACATGAGTCTCAGATCAGGTTCATATGCGATGCAAAGTTATCCTATCAGTCTTCACCCAGAAGTAGTTCTATAGAAAGGAAGGCCGAAGTGAAGATTCATTTTTTTTTTTAAAATTGCATTTGCATCCGATAACTAGATTTTGAATTGTGTGTATTTGACACTAGATGATACCTGTAACTTTTTGCAGAATATGGTACAGCTTAGAATAACCTTCATTACCATCGCCTGTATTAATCCACAGCCGAGATTCATGAGCATGGACGACAAACACAGCGTACTCATCAAAATGGCTGCCTTCTTTCTCGAGTTCCACACACAACTCGTCCATGCGGGGCAGAGGAAAGTAAGTCTTTTCGATCTTGGTTTCACGAGAAAGCTTCGCAGCAACTCGCTGGATAAGTGCTTCGACTTTATCAAGACTAAATGTACGGTCACAATTGAATAAACGAAAGTTTAAAACCATCTTGAATGTTTTCCAGTGTTAGGTCTCTTTACATTCGTGGAATCTTTCTGGGTTCTTGGAAACTGGTAAATAGACGTCAGGTTCTTAAATCAAAGGCCCTTAGGCGAACTCGTGGATACTTGTTGCACTTTTCGAAGATTGGTCTTCCTGTGCCCTCTTTAAGCTTGTTGACATTCTTAAACGGATTCCAAATATTTCGCTCGATTTAATATTTTGAATGCTCAATTTATCTAGTAAGATGAGTAATCGTCCTTATTATTTTTCTTTTAGCTTCTAGTTCTTCGCTAGTTTGTTGAGTTTGGAATTGAAAATTGTCTGAACTTCAATTAATACGAAAGACGACTTCGACTACGACTTCGCGATAGAGTCAACTGAGTCAAGTATAGAGTACAATTGGAAGAAGATCTATTTGAAAACGCTTTCTCTGTTTTCAGTTTCAAAGCGGGCTTTGTGTTTTATTCCAGGAATCATTCGACCTACGAGCTCAAAACTGAATATACAAGATAATCGACCGTTTATGATACAATCGGGACGATCAACATAAAGCGTTGCGTTATGCGTGTTGATTTACATTACTGTTTATCTTGACCTTCAGGGGTCACGGCTCCTACTTCAAATGAA